AAACATTTATTACCAAAATATGTTAGACATACAAGGAATTTGACGTGGCAGTTGGTGCATCTGCGATCATCTTCGATCTTGACATCAGAGTATCTTTTTAGATGCGGTTTAATATAGTGAGAAACTCTAGAGCTGAAATGTTTGCTGTGGTTTTCTTCCAGTGCTGGACTTTCCCAAAGAGCTTTCTGACATGTTTGATCCAACAAAAGGTAAACTGCCCCCGCGTATAACAGGAATGACATGTTTGATCTGCTGTTGCTGTGATGTGGACTGATGGCTCTTTTCTGTATCTGGCAGAGATCAGCGGAGACCTTCTGGAGGACCTGATGTCATCAGAAGGTGAGTTTGACCTGACCGTGTCTAATAAGAGTTGATTTATGAATGTTAACATATATTGTATAGAACCAAGAAATGCTTTTATACATGTCCTCACTCATCGCCTCCCCTTGTAACGCGTCCTGGATGTCTCATTTTGTTCGTCTCCTCTAGTGTTCTCGCCTCTCCTCCGTCTGTCCCCCCCGCCCAGCGACCACGACTACATATACAACCTGGATGAGACAGAGGGCCTTTGTGACCTCTTCGACGTGCCCATCCTCAATCTCTGACTCCTGAGGTTGATGTCGGAGTGGGAAACGGCTCCCCAAACATGCTAATTCCCTTTTCTCTCCCAAGTGTCCCCCCCGCTCACTGACGGCGAAGGTGAGTGGCGGCGCAGGAACGCCGATTTGATTCGACGAGCGTCTTGAGGACACCTGAGCTCCGACCGTTGCTCCGAGGGCAGCCCTGTGAACACGTACCGGCATGAACGAAAACGTCTTACTTCCTGCTTTTCCAAGGAAGCCGAGTCAAAGCAAAGTGACAAATAATTATATTTTTAAATGGCTATGTATGTCAAAGCAGTGCTTTTGGGTAACGGCGTGTGCGTGTGTGTGTGTGAGTGAGTTTCGTATTGAAAGCTCTCTTAACTTGTGTCCGATGTCTCTAGAGGGGGTACAAATGGAGAACCCCTTTTTTTTATCAGATAACTAGTCCCGGCAGACTAACGGAGCACAGCCCTCGTCACACGGCAGCTGCTTATGCATGGCTGCAACGAGTCCACACACAGCTGGTTAAATATGCACTGCCCTTATGTACATAGAGAATATATATTTTGAATTACCAGCACGCGAGTGTGTAGTAATAAACTTCATTTGTAACTAAGGCAGATCATTGGTCTGTAAATGAACAAAGATCCCGATACGCTAACGCTCGTGCCGTCTGTATGGCGCGCCGTGTTAAGTCCAGGGCATTTTGTCTCAAACCCTCCAGTGTCGAAGGTGTGTTTGTGAACCATACAGAAAGCGGAAACCCAATAAAATATATGTGACAAAGAGGCACAGACCAAAACTAGAGGTCTAGTTGGAGAATTTTACCGTGCTACTCGTTTTATTCTTTTTTTCCTATTAACGTGAACACTGTCGAGGTCAACGTGGTGCTCATAAAAATGAAATGTGTCTGCCACGTCTCCACTGATAATGAATTATAGCCCAGCTTTCCGTTTTATTTTGCCTCTTTACTTTTGAACCTTGCTATTTTTATTGCCTCTGATTATTATAAAACATAACTGGAGCGCATCAAAGGACCCCCCCCCCCCCACCTCACTCTCTAAAAAGACTTCTGTTTCTTTTGTCTTTTAATTATGTATGTATATGATTACCACCGTACTCAGTTCATGTTTATGGAAAGGGACTTGGACATGTATTTTTACTGAGCGAATATGGTTACGATGTCACTGACGACGCACGTGTGTTTGCTTGTTTGTATATTTGGTAAAGATCCCTATTCAATAGTTTATTCCAAGTCCTTTCTGTTTCTCGTGTAATGAGTTATTTGAATCTGATCTGTCTTCCTCTGCAGGAAGCAGGTGAGTAGCAGCTCAGGATGAGTCGTTGGGTGTCAAACTGTTAAAAGCTTGTCCGATATCAACATCATTCATGTTTCTACATGGCTCCTCCATGTCCGTTTTGCCCCGGATTAAGTCTATGTAAAGTATGTGCTGTTTATATCCATCGCTACCGCTTGTATAGGATAGCCTTTATTTTTTTATACCCGATAGATCTATTACTACTGCTACGTATTTGGGGCTTCACTTAATGGTGTTTTGAATTCCTCCACTGCTTCGTCAAAGCGTCTTGTCTCCTTGTTGCACTTTACATCACTGTGGACTGATTGGTTGTTTCTCAGCTGATCAGTAACGAGTCATCATATTTGGGCGGCGTCATGAGTTTCTTCAGTAAAGAAGCCCGGCAGTAATGTTTGGAATGAATCAAGACATTGTGGGACGGCTTGAGAGAGTCGTTCTAGACAGTAGTTGTTTTTTGTTTTTTTTACAAGATTCACTATTTGCTAAGCTATAGTTGCATCAAATGAAATAAAATAAACGCTTTGGCATTCCTGAAGTATTGTCTGTTTTCTAATTTAAGTAATTTGGCAAGTGTTTCCGTGCGTCATGGTACACACACAGACTGTAGTTCTTGCTTAAAAGCTGTTTAGTAGATAATTTCATGAGGTGCTTACATTTTATTTTTAATGAAAACTGATTAAAAAAAGAAACAGAATATGTTTGTGATGTTAGGTAAACAGTTCAACTTAATTTTTTTTGATGAACAACCATAAGCTATATTGAAATATTGTACTTGGATCATAACAGTGACCAATGTAATACTATTCCCTCTCCTCCTACTCACAAAGCCGGCAATCACCTTGACTACATCTTTACTAGAAACTGCTCTACCACTAACCTCTCTGTAACTCCACTTCATGTGTCTGATCACTTCTTCATCTCTTACTCCCTTCCACTCTCTATAACTAACAAACCTCCCTCACTGACTAACTCTGTACCGGCTCGTCGCAATATTCGCTCCCTCTCTCCCTCCTCGCTGGATCCTCTGTTCTATCAGCTCACCCTTCAACTGATTCCTTCTCACTCTTGCATCCGAACGCTGCTGCAGAGACTCTCCTCTCAACTCTTTCCTCCTCTCTAGACTCTCTCTGCCCTCTTACGACACGACGGACTGGCAAATCCCCTCCGGCTCCGTGGCTGTCTCAACCGGTGCGTGCCATGAGAGCCACCATGCAAGCGTCGGAAAGGAGATGGCGTAAATATAAACGACCTGACGACCTGCTTAAATTTCAATCTCTCCTCTCCTCGTTTTCTGCTTTTTATCTCTGCTGCCAAAAGCTCTTTCTACCAATCCAAAATTGAATCTTCATTTTCTAACCCCAAAAAACTCTTCTCGATCTTCTCCAATCTCCTCGAACCCCCTACCCCTCCTCCCCCCTTCTTCCGGGAGACTTTATCAACTACTTCACCAAGAAAATAGCTGACATACGCTCCTCCTTCTCAAACCCACTTCCTACTTCTCGCGTCCCACCGACCTCACCTCTTTCGCCCTCACTTTCCTCTTTCACCGCCCTCTCTCCTAACCAAATTCTTACCCTAGTAACCTCTGCCCGTCCGACCACCTTCCCTCTTGACCCCATTCCATCACATCTTCTACAATCTATCGCACCTGACCTTCTTCCGTTCCTCACCTGTCTCATCAACAACGCTCTGTTATCTGGCTGTTTTCCCAATTCTCTGAAGGATGCAAGAGTCAACCCCCTCCTGAAGAAACCTACCCTCAACCCTTCTGAAGAAAACAACTACAGACCGGTCTCTCTTCTTCCCTTTTTGTCCAAAACCCTTGAACGTGCTATCTTTAATCAACTCTCCTCTTATCTCCACTGTAACAACCTCCTTGACCCCCACCAGTCAGGTTTCAAGGCAGGCCACTCCACAGAGACTGCTCTCCTTGCTGTCTCAGACCAACTCCACACTGCTAGAGTAGATCGACTAGATCAAGACTCTTTGCTGTCCTTGCGCCGAAATGGTGGAACGAGCTCTCTGAAGACACCAGGACCGCAGAGAGCCTTCACATCTTCCGCTGCAAACTAAAGACACACCTCTTCAGACTCTACCTCGACTAAAGACTAACAAATTGTAGCACTTAGATTGTACTTGTAACGTCACTCATCTATAGCAAATTGTAAATTGGCTTATTTGAGGAAATTGCACTCTTCTTCTTCTTCTTCTTCTTGTTTCTTGTTCTCCTGAGTTTGTACCCTATGGTTGAATGCAATTATTGTACGTCGCTTTGGATAAAAGCGTCCGCTAAATGACTTGTAATCTAAAGTAATGTAATGATACTTTATGTCCTGACTGGAGGTTAGGGTTGCATGGGAGTATGCAGCCGATCAACCCGTGTGTTTCCATTGATCCTGACACATCAAGTCATCTCTCATAGACAATTGTGCGACCTCATAATAATAGAATCGTAACATATATTCTGGAATTTGGATGCCCTTCTACTGTTTATGTGCATTAAAAGCGTCATACAATTGTGATGTCATCATTACGCCCACAATTTGATAATTTGAAACGGAGTTGAGGTTTGGTTACAACACGCGTCAGCTACATGACGTGTAATAACGTAATGTAACATGAAACAGTACCGATTCAAAGTCAACGTGTCGACCTGCAGCAGTGACGTCATTCATCTACATAAAAGACATACAGCTGTTATTGAGGGGGAAAGGGCAGTAGAGGGCAGCTGTAACCTGCTGCATCCGATCCGGAACTTGGATTTAATTAACCTACTTCTTGGAAATTTGAAAGCAGGAATTGTTCAGGTTCACAAGCACTGGCGGCATTTCACGGCTTCCTGCAATTGTACTTTCAAAGTAACAATAACATTTAGGAAGGTAACATCTCGCATCCACAAAGTTGAGGAGGAATTACACTTGATGCAATAAGTCAACATTGGTAGTTCAGTTCGTGCATTGTTTGCACATTTTGTACCATGACACATCGGAGTTTTCACCCCAACGCGCTCGATCGGATGGGTTTTATTTTGAAAGCGCAACCGGAAACTCGTGGCCTAAATCCCTCGCTAAAAAACCTCTCGCAGAGAGACTCGAACCAACCCGGAACCTTTAGGTCCACTAACTATTCCTAACAAACCATCGCAGGGAACTCAGCCCTTGTTTTATTCCGTAGAACAAGTTGAAGTATTTCTCCGAGCGAAGTCGCTGCTGCGGGCCGAAGAAGTTCCTTCCGCGGGGGAAAGTAGACCCTCGCAGATGCCTCTCGCTCCAGCCGCGGCGGTTCCTGTGGGACAGTGAAGTTTATCACAGTTAGTGAAGTTAGTCCTCGACTCCTCGAACCAGGTAGGATTCTCTTTCTCTCTCCTCGTCGCGTCATCTTTCTGCAAAAAGCTTCGGCCTCATTCGCATCAGTTTGAAGGACTCACCGTTAAGTTATGTTCACGTTTATTTGCGCTGGCGGAAAAGTTACTTATGTTTAAACACAGTTATTGAACTAATGTCACTTAATTGAGCTTCCAGTGTTCATCTGCAGATGGAGACATTCATCTGTGTGGAGCTGCATCAACCTCATCAACAGGATGCACGACACTTTAATATTCTTTACACTTTAATAAATACATAGCAAGCAAGCCATTAAGTCAGTCACACCTCAAGTCAGTCTTTGTCTGTGGTCTACCCTTTAGTGTGTGTGTGTGTGTGTGTGTGTGTGCGCGCGCACACTGACTCGCGCGCGTCAGTGAGTCAGGCTTTGACAGCTGCTGAACATGGTGGAGCTTTAATCAGAAAAACCCTAAAAACTCTTTTATAATCTCGCTGTTTCTTCTGGAGTTTCTTATTTTCTTCTACTGGGACCGTTATAGCTCCACATTGCAATAGTGACATGACAACTAATGAAACTGGCAGTTGTCAGATTTATTTAATAAATGTATCAGCCAACTGTTTTATTTATTAGTCAATCTTTTCGAAAATGCATAAAAATGCCCAGTAGTGATGGCTCCTTTTGTAATGTATTCAGTGTAAGTAGCCATGTCCAAAAGCCAGCACTGAAACCAAGTATATTGCATTTATTGTTCATGTAACTCATTCATTTGTTGAGATGAGTATTGTACTTGTGTACTAATACCTCTTGATTTCGCTTCTGTTTAAAACCGGTTGAAACAGACGGTGCTGTTTCAGCTTCTCCTCCCTCCTCCACACACACACACACACACACACACACACACACACACACACACACACACACACACACACACACACACACACACACACACACACACACACACACACGCTGTGTTTTCCTTGCTCAGGTTAAAAAGGGGAAACCGTTTTGAATTCATGAGCAGAGGTGTGCAACAAACCAACAAACTAAAAGCCGTGGTTCGATTCCCGGTCCCTGAAGTGTGTGTGTGTGTGTGTGTTTATTACAGATGATCACGTGTTGATGAATCGGTGAATGCCGGCTTTGTTGTAAAAACCTTTTTAGGGTAATTCTCTCAGACAGCACCACATAAATGGAGTCCATTTACTTTATTTAAATATTGCTGCTCTTGGTGGTGGTGAGACGAACTTGAGGGTGGCGTGGCCCTCGGCGTGGTGATGGTGGGGGAATGTCAGTGCGGGCTGAGCAGTGTTCATCAGCGTGTACGGATAGGTCGAGGGTGTCCACTGCAGTGCCTTCCCTGTGTGTGTGCGTGTGTTAATAGTTAGTAGTTTTAGTTATTGGTCATGCAACCAGGCATTACTTTGGGATTCAGTGAATTCACGTTTAGTCCAGACAGATGTGCAGCTGACACCCCCACCCTCCCCCTCTGACCTCGGGCGGTCTTTGCTGTTACAGAAAAACGACGTGCCTGTTACCCGGAGTTTGCCCTTGAATTTGCTGATTTCTAAGCTGTGCTCAACAGAACTCCACGCTCCCCTCCTCCCTCACCCCCCCCCACACCCAAATCTCTCAAAGATTACGTCTGCAAATCCTTCAATGGCAAGTTGACCTCCGTGCCCCAACAATCCAAAAACCCGCGTCCTCAGCCTGCCCTGCTGTGGTCGTCCTCCACCTTTTTCCCCCTTCTGCCTTCAAAGGCCGATTCGTCGGGGAGAGAGGCTGCCTCGAGGCGGGCGAGTGGAGGAGACGTCAGGTTGTTTTCGACAGAAGATTTGCTTTGAAACCGGCTATAAACCTGTGGGAGCTTTCTCCTGTAGACTGAGCAAAGGTGAGCTATCCGAGAGCCGGAGGAATGGGGGGAGCCGGAGGGGGCATTAAACCGAGCCGATCACAAGCTCGACTTATTTGCTTCTATGGAGAACGTACAGAAGAACTTTGATTCCGGTCGGAATGTTTCAATGAGAGACAGACGAGGGAGGAGGGGGGGTTTGGTTGGTATCCTCTGTATCCTCCTCTGGGACGCAGCGTCTGAAGGCCGGAGGGGATGTTTGTACCATGTTTTTGTGCGTGCGTGTGTGTGAGAGTTGGTTCGGGGAGCTGCGTGTTCAGACAGTGTTTCAGCGCTCTCAGAATTACTCACTGCAACACGTGTGTGTGTGTGTGTGTGTGTGTGTGTGAAAGAGGAACACGTCTCTGCACGGCCTCGTAATTAAAACGATAGTTAAGTTCACCGGCCGTGATGAGTTGACGAGACTCGGCTGAGCCGTCACTTTAACACGTGGTCCTCCTTTACAGGACTGTTTCAGCTTCTTCTCTTTGTTCTGGGACACAACAGAGTCACTGGACTGTTTCTCTGGTTGCCGGTAGCGATGATCATTACAGTCTGATTCAGGAATGTAGTGTATAAAGTGTGATGGTTCCCTTCCCTTTTGTTACTAACAGTGGCGGAGCTACGAGGTGCCAACATGCCTCAACAGAAGGACATAGTGAAGATTGCTATCCAGATGCCAGGGGCCTACCCCCAGCTCATACAACTGGACCAGGTGAAGCACACACACACACACAACCAAAAGATGACAAATGTCGTCCTTTTCAAACCACAGTTGTACGTTATGCTTGCAGCATCTTTCAGCCTCCAGAGGGAGATTAACTCGGCACCAGGGTTTAAAGATGCCCATGGCAGCGCAGTTGGTTGAATGTGTTGGCATCGCCGGTGATGTCATTGATTGGTCGATAGACCAGTCAGCCTTTTAACATTCATTCTTTTCTTCTATTTTTGACATAACAATCTACGGCGCACCAACATTTTCAATGTTTGATAAACAAGTTTTAATATGAATAAATTGCCTTTAACTGAAGTGTTGCCTGGACTTCCTTTTTTATTTTCGGTATATATGTAGATTCATCACATTTCGCAGCATGAGGTTGTGAGGGAGTTTTCCATCTTTCTTAGAAACCATGAGGAAGTTGTACTTCCTTACCGAAGACACTAATGATAAGCGTGAGTGGTAGTTTGAACCGAGTCCCGTACAGCACAATTACATTCCACCCATCACTTGAGGAGGTTTCACTGAAAGGGGAAAGAACACGTATCACCGATCGACACCCTTTTTCAAGTCCCGATGCCTTAAACAACATTTTGATTTTGTTTGTGTAGTCCCCTGGTGACATTAGGACTATAGTCATACTTTCAAAACTAGGTGCCTGCCTATAAAAAGAAAAAGTAAATGTTTATTTTACATTAAATACATAATAGAGGACACCTGATTTCTAAGTGGGGAGATGTTTATTTGTCGTGCATGGAGTAATGTTTGTCATAGTGATGAATACTAATGTTAAGTTCATATTTAGTTAAATAATATCTCCAGAGGCTTTAGGCCGTTAGCCTTTTAGTACTTACTGTTTGATTACTGTTTGTTACCGTATTATTGGTCAGTTGTGTATTCGCGCTGTATAGCCAATGGTGATTGGTTGGGAAAACAACGGGGAGGACACGTGACTGGAAAGTTCTGGAAGTTTTGGGGGTTCGGGAAGAGAGAGGAGAAGTCGTGAAGAGACGGGACGCCGGCGTTTTTGGGGAAGAGAAAAAGACGCTAGCAGGAGACAAGAAGGCAGAATAAACCGGCGCGGGAGGCTGGAAGGAGTGGACCGCGGACTCGGTGTGTTTGTGAGCCTGGAAACGGAGGAAAAACCAAAGCTGAAACCCCGTCGGACGGAGCGGGGGAGAAGCAGCGGAGGTCGCCATCGAGGGAGCCGAGCTTGCTAGCCACGGTGGGCGTGGCCGGGCGAAAGTGTCGGTGACTCGCATCGCGGATCCGAGTTTCCACGCTCTCAATGTTTTCAAAGTGATTTCAGCGCACTCAATGTTTTGCCAGACCAAACAGGTCTGCAACGTGTTTTTCTTTCCGCTCAGTTGCCGTAAGTAATTGGAACATGTGTGGCTGTGTGTGGTGATTGGGCCCAACACCGCATCGGCTAATACTTGTTTCAAGACACTTGGAGGGGAAAGTTTTTGTTGTTATTGTTGAACTCTGGTATTCTCCGAGTTGAGGAACGGGAACATTTCGAACATTTATTTTGATGTAACGTCCTTGATACTAATGGGTTTATATCACTGAATTTGGAGTTTATTATTTACGTTTTGGGGAAGTTTTGGTTATTTATTTTTCTCTATTTGGTAATATTGGGTTTTGAGGGAAATTAATTATTGTATTTAAATAAACAAGGGCGTTGCCCTATTTATTTTACTTTTGTTAAAAGAACAACCATCTCTGGGTCTCATTTATTTTTTAAATAGCTTCTTGCTAAAAGGTTTTACGATACATCGAGCCCAAGCACCCCCCATTCTCACGTGAGTGACTCACAGAGTGGTGATACGGGTGCTACATAAAATGGAGGCACCGCTGGGATTGTTAATTTAGTTTATATCAGTAGTTTAAATTAGCTCTAACTTTAGTATGACCCAGAGATTTAAACAGTTTGTTTAAAAAGTAGTTTAAAACCAATAGCTGGTTAGCTTTTAACCTACAAGTAAAACCTACCAAATTTAGTTCTGACAAGTGATCACAGTAAGTGCACAACCCGTGGGGATGGCTCAGTTGAAGAACTGGTGTGTTGGAGAAGGAATAGACCCGGTGAAAGCCTTGCTGGTTAAAGATGTACCTCCGAACACTGAAATTGGTTTCATTGAGGAAACGATGCAGACTGTCAAAGCACTCGGGAGAGTCAGGGTGAGAGGAAGAATGTATGACCCAACGTCTCAAAGTCTAACCGTGCTATGTGAGTGCAGGGAGAATGTGGACACCGACGCCATTCCTTTTGATATTTTTCCTGAGGGGTCTGCTGAGGCCTGGATGATCATTGGACCTTCTCAGCAGGAGGGAGAAACCCAAGCTCAGGCAGCTGGTGATGCTCAAAATGTGCCGCTGCCAGATTCCAGTCCTTTTTCCCCACTGCAAGCCTCAACTCCTGAAGCTATCATTCGAGCAGTTGGTGATGTCCTGCAAAGGGCCAGCCAGCCCCCACATAGTGACCACAATCTTTACAGAAGACTGCGCATTTTCTCAGGGGTCATGCCCACACCCCCAGGAGAGGAACAGTTGGAAAACTGGGTTGAGCAAGCTAGATTTTTAATTGAAGAATACGATCGCCCTGAAAGAGAAAAGAAAATGAGAATAATGGAAAGTGTAAAGGGTCCCGCACTGGAGATCCTCCAAGCTGTCCGTTTCAACAACCCATCTGCAACCTCTATGGAGTACATTGACATTCTAGAGACTACTTTTGGCAACCCAGAGAGCGGTGAGGAACTTTACTTTGCTTTCCGAATGTTGTGTCAGTACCCCAATGAGAAGCTCTCGGAGTTCCTGAGACGTCTTGAGAGAATCCTAAATAAAGTTGTCAAAAAGGGTGGACTCCAGTCATCGGAGGCAGACAGAGCACATATTGACCAATTCATTAAAGGGGCTATCAGATCTGATATTATGATACTAAATCTCGGATTGAGAGAGCGCAGAAACAATCCTCCCATTTTTCTTGAGCTGTTGAATGAGATACGACAGGAGGAGGAGCATGAAGCTTCACGTCGCAGACTCCATAATCCCAAAGCCGTCTACGCCAAAAGCGCTACTGTGACCTTCGACACAGAGTTAAAAGATCTGAGAGCTGAAATACACCAACTCGGAGACCAAGTAAGTGAAACTCTCTTTCCCCGCCGCCATGCCAAGTCACCTTTCTACGAGCACATTGCTCTCAGTCACTCCGGCGGCAGAGAACTCTGACGACAAGAACGTTCAAGCTTTAAAGAAAGAAGTAGTAAAGCTCCGAAAACAAGTCTCTGTCATGTCAGTCAAGCCCAAGTATGGTCCTGCTACTGAGCCCTGCCCACAAGAGACCCAGCCAAAACCCTGGCAGCAAAGACCTTCTACAGCCAGAGACCCCACTGATTTTTTCTGCTATCGCTGCGGGGAAGACGGGCACTTTGCCACCAAGTGTGTCTCTCCTGAGAACTATCCCAAAGTTATTCAGAAGTTGTTGCTAGCGCAAAGAAAGTCCAAACAGAACAGCACATCTGAAAACGAAACAAGAACCAAGACGACAAATGCCAGTGTCAGGAGAAGCGCGGTAAATGTACAGACCAACAGTTTGCCCGAGGGACTCGTGGGACCGCCCTCCACTGCTCAGGTCAGGATCAATGGCAACCCCTGCACCGCGTTGATGGACAGTGGGTCGCAAGTTACCATCATTTTCGACAGCTGGTATACTAAACACCTATCACACATTCAGTTAAATTCTGTGACCGGTCTAGCCATATGGGGCCTAAGTGAGTCAGAGAGCAGCTACCCGTACAAAGGGTACATCCAGATCGAGTTGGAGTTGCCAAAAAAATCGAAGTCCCACAAGGTCCAGTCTGTTTCTGTCTTGGCCTTGGTGTGCCCTGATCCACGTTGCTCCGAGACTATACCTGTCCTTATCGGCACAAACGTTAGGGGGGTTCAGCCTTTCGAGTCCAGAACAACAAAAGAGGACCTGGAGAACATAAAGTCACTCAACATCCACGTGCAAGAGAAAAACCATTTACCCATTCCTGCAGGGATGACAATAAAAGGCAACAAAGAGCTGCCTGTGGCTGAAGTTAAATGGGCTGGGCCTGGTCCTCTCAGAATTCCCCCTGGCACTGAATACATTGCTATCTGCAAAGTTAAAGAAACACAAGTCATCAGAGACAGCATACTCATCATTGAGCGAGCCCGCTCACCTACCCTTCCTTCAAGTGTACTTGTCCAGCCAACTGTGTTGTTCTGCAAGATGCTCGATTCAAACAACTTCCTGGTGCTACTGCGTAATGAGTCTCTGAAGTAAACTGCCATTCCAATGGGCACTGTGATCGCTCACCTTCACGTCGCTGACATTGTGACCGATGCATCGAACCCTAATGTGGAATCTGTTCCAGCTATGGATCCTTCTTTGTTTGACTTCAGTGAGTCACCCATAAGCAAAGAGTGGAAAGAGAGGCTGAGTCAAAAGATTTCCAGACATTCCCCGGTGTTCTCTGTTGAAGAGTGAGATGTCGGTCTGGCTAAAGGGGTAGAACATCACATCCGCCTGAATGATAACACTCCCTTCAGAGAGAGATCTCGACGTATTGCCCCAGCGGATTTGGATGACCTTCGACGTCACTTGCAAGGTTTATTGGCGGCTGGGATCATAAAAGAATCAAGAAGTCCATATGCTTCACCAATTGTTCTTGCACGTAAAAAGAATGGGCAACTTCGTATGTGCATCGACTACCGCACCCTGAACCGGAGAACTATCCCAGACCAGTACACTGTACCCCGAATCGACGACGCTCTCGATTGTTTGTCAGGCAGTAAGTGGTTTTCGGTGTTGGATCTGCGCTGTGGCTATTACCAAATCCCAATGGCTGAGGAGGACAAAGACAAAACCGCTTTCATCTGTCCCCTGGGATTTTTCCAATTTGAGCGGATGCCGCAGGGAATTACAGGGGCCCCTGCGACATTTCAACGGCTTATGGAAAAGGCAGTCGGCGATATGCACATGCTTGAAGTCATTGTCTATCTAGATGACCTCATTGTCTTCGGCACCACTCTGGAGGAGCATGAGCAAAGACTCCTCAAAGTTCTCGCTCGTCTTGAAGAGGCTGGACTAAAGTTGTCCCTCGACAAGTGCCAGTTCTGTCGCTCAAGAGTCACATATGTCGGGCACATCGTCTCTGAGCACGGTATCGCCACAGACCCGGGCAAAGTTGACGCAGTGACGCGGTGGAAGACGCCAACCGACCTTCCTTCTCTGCAGTCGTTCTTGGGGTTCTGCGGCTACTACCGCAGGTTTATAAAAAACTTTTCCATCATCGTCCGACCACTAACAGAGCTGTGCAAAGGGTATCCTCCCACCCAAAAGAAACACAAGTCTACCTCAGCATCAGATAAGACTTACTACAAAGTCAATGAGCCTTTTGGGGACCGGTGGGACCAGGCATGTTCCGAGGCATTCAAAAAGATCATCCACTGCCTCACAAATGCACCTGTGCTGGCATTCGCCGACCCCCTCAAGCCTTATATACTTCACATAGATGCCAGTTTCCAAGGGCTTGGAGCTGTCCTCAACCAAGAGTACCCTGAGGGCTTGAGACCTGTTGCTTTTGCAAGCCGCAAGCTGAGTGCCCCTGAGAAGAACTATCCTGTGCACCAGCTTGAGTTTTTGGCACTTAAGTGGGCAGTGGTGGACAAGTTCCACGACTACTTGTATGGAGCACAGTTTACCGTGAGGACTGATAACAACCCCCTAACTTATGTTCTCACGACTGCCAAACTCAATGCGACAGGTCACCGCTGGCTCTCGGCACTGGCCACGTACAATTTCACCCTGCAGTACAGGCCTGGCAGCAGCAACATCGACGCCGATGCCCTGTCACGCAACCCTTGTCCGACTACAGAAGAACGTTGGCAAACTGTATCGACTGAAAGTGTTCAAGCCCTGTGCAAGCAGATCAAGTGCTGTGAAACTCCAACGGAGTCCACGACGATGGCCGAGTCCCTTGGAGTGTCACCTGATGGTATACCAGAGTGTTTTGCCTCCCCAGTTTGGTTGGATCTCGGTTCTTTGAGTCAGCTCAGTTACAAAGACCTGGTCACCGCTCAAGATGTTGATCCTACTATCGCTCCAGTCAAGCAGTCGCTTTGTGGTGGTTCATCATTCATCAGCCCCGATAATCCAATTTCTGTCCTGTTGAACAAAGAAGTAAGCAAGCTGTTCATTCAAAACCATCTGCTCTACAGAAAGGTTGAGAAAAATGGGACGGAGGTAAAGCAGCTGGTACTGCCAAGAGAGTATGTTCCGATGGTCCTGAGATCTTTGCATGATGAGTCAGGTCACTTGGGAATGGACAAGACCATTGAGTTCATCAGAAACCGGTTCTATTGGCCGAAAATGGGAGTTGAGGTGGAGCAGTACATCAAAAACTGCGGCAGATGCATCACTCGCAAAGCCCTTCCTCAAAGAGCTGCTCCCTTAAAACAGATTACCAGCCAAGGCCCTCTAGACCTAGTCTGTATTGATTTTCTGTCACTTGAGTCAGACTCTCAAGGTTTCACCAACATCCTTGTAGTGACTGACCACTTTACTCGATATGCCCAAGCTTTTCCAGCCAAAGACCAGAAGGCGGTCACCGTTGCCAAGATACTGTGTGAGCGCTACTTTGTACACTACGGACTCCCTGCCCGCATACATTCAGATCAAGGCCGCGATTTTGAGAGCAACCTGATCCAAGATTTACTGAGGATGTTGGGTATTCGTAAGTCAAGAACAACGCCTTACCACCCTCAGGGAGATCCGCAACCAGAACGATTTAACCGTACGCTCTTGTCAATGCTGGGCACACTTGATCCAAAGCAAAAACAAAGATGGAGTCAAAAGATCAGTCAGTTAGTCCATGCCTACAACTGTTCTCAAAACGACGCAACTGGGTATTCGCCCTACCTGCTAATGTTTGGCAGAGAAGCTCGCTTACCGGTAGACATCTGTTTTGGCGTGGCCGAGGACGATCAAAAGACCAAGTCCTACCATCAGTATGTTGCTAAGCTAAAGAAAGATCTCCAAAGAGCCTACCGTCTTGCAACTGAAGCGTCAGACAGTAATCACCAAAGAAATAAAAAAGCACACGACAAGCACGTCAAAGAACAAGTCCTTGACAAAGGCGACCGGGTGCTGCTGAGAAACCTTGGGGTCACAGGCAAGCACAAATTGAAATGCAAGTGGTTACCCTCACCATATATTGTTATGGAGAAGCTACCCAACTTACCTGTCTACAAGATCAAGCCAGAGAGGGGCATGGGAGCCGAAAAAACTATTCATCGTAACCACCTGTTACCCATTGGTTACCTGGTGAGAATCCCTGTCGACGAAGGTGAAGTGGGGGCACAACACAGACCTGTGACCAGAGCATTGCATCAACAGACAAAAGAACGGGGACCGACAACCAACCAAGATGACGATGTGTCCTCAGAATTAGAGTATGACGAAGTATACCTGCCAAGCCCCATTGAGTTAGACAGGGACAAGTTGCTGACATGTCCAGAACTGTCCCGGGAGCAATCTGAGCCAATTGTCACCGAACCTGAAAGACAAGTTCACGACCCGGTTGAAATAGAGCCAGCGGTCAATAATCTGACCAACCTGCCTCCCAACGCTGATCCAGAAGTTGACGTTCTAGAGGGGGGAGCAGATGTCAATCCCTATCCGAACACTCAAGCTGAGAGTGGACAAGCTGAGCATTCAAAACGAGTAATTCGTCCAGTGGTCAAGCTGAGCTACGATGAACTGGGCAAGCCTTGTGACCACCCTGTGACAGTCCTAAGCCATGGCGTGTTGGTGGGAAGTGGACTCTACGGAGACTCCAGGAGCGGTGTATGTCAAACTCTCTGGTGCCACCCCATGGCGTTGTGTTACACTTGTTTTAATCCGGTCTCTAGTGTTGGCTGGTAGACTATTAGAGTTCTCTAAGGTTTATTTTGATGAGGGCATCAAAATTGTCCAGAAGGGGGAGAGTGTAGTCCCCTGGTGACCTTAGGACTATAGTCATACTTTCAAAACTAGGTGCCTGCCTATAAAAAGAAAAAGTAAATGTTCATTTTACATTAAATACATAATAGAGGACACCTGATTTCTAAGTGGGGAGATGTTTATTTGTCGTGCATGGAGTAATGTTTGTCATAGTGATGAATACTAATGTTAAGTTCATATTTAGTTAAATAATATCTCCAGAGGCTTTAGGCCGTTAGCCTTTTAGTACTTACTGTTTGATTACTGTTTGTTACCGTATTATTGGTCAGTTGTGTATTCGCGCTGTATAGCCAATAGTGATTGGTTGGGAAAACAACGGGGAGGACACGTGACTGGAAAGTTCTGGAAGTTTGGGGGTTCGGGAAGAGAGAGGAGAAGTCGTGAAGAGACGGGACGCCGGCGTTTTTGGGGAAGAGAAAAAGACGCTAGCAGGAGACAAGAAGGCAGAATAAACCGGCGCGGGAGGCTGGAAGGAGTGGACCGCGGACTCGGTGTGTTTGTGAGCCTGGAAACGGAGGAAAAACCAAAGCTGAAACCCCGTCGGACGGAGCGGGGGAGAAGCAGCGGAGGTCGCCATCGAGGGAGCCGAGCTTGCTAGCCACGGTGGGCGTGGCCGGGCGAAAGTGTCGGTGACTCGCATCGCGGATCCGAGTTTCCACGCTCTCAATGTTTTCAAAGTGATTTCAGCGCACTCAATGTTTTGCCAGACCAAACAGGTCTGCAACGTGTTTTTCTTTCCGCTCAGTTGCCGTAAGTAATTGGAACATGTGTGGCTGTGTGTGGTGATTGGGCCCAACACCGCATCGGCTAATACTTGTTTCAAGACACTTGGAGGGGAAAGTTTTTGTTGTTATTGTTGAACTCTGGTATTCTCCGAGTTGAGGAACGGGAACATTTCGAACATTTATTTTGATGTAACGTCCTTGATACTACTGGGTTTATATCACTGAATTTGGAGTTTATTATTTACGTTTTGGGGAAGTTTTGGTTATTTATTTTTCTCTATTTGGTAATATTGGGTTTTGGGGGAAATTAATTATTGTATTTAAATAAACAAGGGCGTTGCCCTATTTATTTTACTTTTGTTAAAAGAACAACCATCTCTGGGTCTCATTTATTTTTTAAATAGCTTCTTGCTAAAAGGTTTTACGATACATCGAGCCCAAGCACCCCCCATTCTCACGTGAGTGACTCACAGAGTGGTGATACGGGTGCTACATTTGTGTTACTGATCCGTAACAGCAGAAAAAAAAAACATTGCTCACAACCAATCGTGCCGGCCCGGAAGAATCCCCCCCGACACCTTCCCACCGTCCCGGGCGTCTCGACTAAACCCATTTGATTGGTTGGCATTCTCAGCCGCCACTAATGACCCCCTGCGCCCGTTTGGGTCCACCGCGGATCCCACAGACATTCTGACTGGTGGACCACTAATGGCAGGCTAGCTGAGGGCCAGACAGGCAGCAGCTCCTATTCTAGAAACGCTGTCACTTCCGCTTCTCTGCAATCGAGGTTTGCAGCCAAAAGTAATAGTCATGGTACCGTGATCCCAAAACGTCATATCTGCTGTCGTGACCCACGCGTATGCAAAGGGGTTTACTTTTTTTTTTTCTTTATGTTCTATTTGCTTTGGTTTCTGACCACACGCTGTTTTGTTGTGTCCTTGTACAGAAAAAGCCTCTGTCTGCTGTGATAAAGGAAGTGTGTGATGGGTAAGTTGGCGCCGTCTTTGTGGTGATGTCGTTGAACCGTATATATGTCTGTATATTGTGATTGATGTCAGCGTGTGTGTGTGTGTGTAGCTGGAACCTCCCGGGTCCTGATAACTACGCCCTGCAGTACGCTGACGGAGTCCAGACGTACATCACTGAGTCGGTGAGTCACGTCGGCCGAGTGTGGCAAATGAAACACAAAAAGGTGATCTACACCTGGAAAAAAGTTTGGACTCACCTGGACGACATCCTGAGCAGCACATCTGAAAACCGTCTCTAAGTTGAAGACGAACACCTCAACGAATGTACAGCAAAGAATCTGGGAATTCCAATTGTGTGAGTCCAGAAGCACATAAATGGAAAGACAGGAAGAGAAGGATACGCAGAAAAGCAGCTGGTCCTCTTGGTGTCAAGTGACCTTTGTGAACGAATAAAGCAGATGTATCGTTGTATTTCAGTGTTGGATCAGCAGGCCGGCCACATCAGTCTCCCTAATAATACTTAATAGAAAAGAAAAAGCTGTTTGTCTTTCTGCAGCTCGCACACAGATTTGTTCTTATCTGAACAAGTCGAGTCACTAGTTAATTACACACCATTTTATTGCAGATTTTAGCCGACTATATTCATCCAAGTGTGGGATTTTTCATAGGTTACTGTGTGTGAAGGGCTTTTGGGCTGTTTTAATTCCCTGCATTCCTGACTGTTTGTTTGTTTGTTTGTAGAACCGTCTGGACATTAAGAACGGCTGCATTCTGCGTCTGACCAAGGCACCGGTGAGTCTGCATGGACCGGGCTTCTCGCACTCCTCCAAGCGCTCTGGCTCCTTTTGATATGAACAAGCAGCGCGGTGTTGTTGAACGCAGGGCCGCTGTGCAGAGGACCTGTACAAGGGCATCCAGAGCTCCGACTCGGGGGTGCGCTGCGATTCGCTGAAGGAGCTGGCAAAGGTTTCCACCGACGTGACCTTCGCTCAGGAGTTCATCAGTCGAGACGGACACCTCTTATTGGTCAAAATAGTAGAGGACGCTAATGAGTGAGTTAATCCTCCATGGCTGGGTGTGTGCCAGTGGTGCAGAGCGGTGACCTGAACATGTATTGACAGTATTCGTTCATTTTTTTTGATCGATCCGAAAGCGCTTCATATTTCTTTGTATGTTTGTCTGTCATTCAGGAGCAATGTGATAATGACCCACACGCTGAGTGGCTTCATGGAGCTGATGGATCATGGGATAGTGTCATGGGAGAACCTGTCGTCTGTCTTCATCAAGAAGGTGCTGCATCTCGTGCTCAGCGTCTGTGGTTTTGTTTGCCGTGGTTTCAGTTGCACCCCTTATCTCAAGAGTCCTCCTCCTTCTCTCCTTCCCTTCCCTTCAGATTGCAAGCTTTGTCAACGCCAAGCTGACCGATGCGTCTATACAGCAGGTGTCCTTGGACATCCTGGAGAGCATGGTGCTGAGCAGCCACAGCCTCTTCTTGGAGGTCAAACAGGAGATCACTATGGAGCGTCTCATCGCTCACCTCCAGGTGTAAGAAACCAATACATGTGGTCCAGCTCCTAGAAGCCGATCCTTTTTAGTAGTTAGTTAAAATCTTGAATGAATGCAGCCACAGCAGCTGGATGTACCGATATTTAAAGGTAAACCACATGCAGGAAAACTGCTTTCGGTGGAGCGCAATGGAACACACCAGAGACTGTGGTAAATGTTGCAGATAAAATTGATTTTTTTTAAATCTATTGTTCAGCAATGAGAAAGTAACTTTGCCAGTGATACAAATCTCTGGGCGGTGCAGATAAAAACAGCAGCCCAGAATCTGAAACAGGAAGTTTTTAAATATGTAAAAAAAAAAACGAGTGCAGACAATAGCATTGTTCATCTGGACTGAATGTGCAGATGTGAGGATCATTTTAATCTTAGTCTGTTTTTCTCCCTAAATGCACCGTATCACCATGATGTGTTTGTCTCACTTCTGTTTTTGTCTTCAGGACGAACCAGCAGATACAGACCAAAGCCATGGCGCTACTTATGGCGCTGCTACAAACAGCCGGGGACACAGAAAGACAGGTGCCGCCGCAGCCCGCTTCTTACTTTCTAATCAGATAGCACATCAACTTCCTGTTCTCATGGCTATTAAAACCAACAAGCGTGCGTGCGTCTAGCTACTTGCTCAGTTTCAGGGCCTCCTTCAATGCCTGTGACTTCCAAACCTGAAAACCAGCTGATATTTCTGTCGTGTTCAGCCATCGTGACTCTTTTTGCTGTGGTGCATTTGTGTAGTGATGGGGAGCTTTTGTATCCCAGGCAGAGAAGGGCCGTTTTTTGAGCATGCGAGTCGGGATCCTGCAGGCGTCACTTCCTGCAGACCGCTGGAAAGTTAAGGCTTTCACTCCCACTGTTCAGTCCCTGGTCTTCTCCAATTGTACGGAAACAGTCTCCTCATTCAGCCCTGCGTCTCCCTCTCAGTCAGACTCTCTTTGTCACTGACTCGCACTTCCTCACTTTAACAGTCGGTCAACAAACCCGCCCTTCTTCTCAGCACATGGGCCCTGAAACCAAACGAGGAGGCGGGGCTAGAGATGCATGTACCAGTAAGTGATGGTTTTGTCCCAGAGGCCGAAGTCCAACACACTGACCCTTGCCCCCTCGCCCCTCCCCACTAATCTGCAACTGACTATATGTCGCCACCTCCTGCTGGAAACATGTCATTACACGTTTTAGTCGCGCTCACTTTTTTCCCCCTCTTCCTTCTGTTTTTCCAGGATATTTTAGCGTTCCTGAATAAGAAGAATCTCCGGCAGTACATTCATAAAGTAAGTGATCTCTTTATTAACATTGTCTCAAGTAAAAGCAACATCTCCGGCCCATTGAGTTAATTTGTGTGTTTTTGTTGTAGAACATCATCCATAGTTCTGGTTCAGTCCAGGACAAGATGGCCCACTACCTCTATGTCCTACAGTCCGTCACCTTAAATCACATGGAGGCCCGCATGAGGACTCCTATGGACTGTTACAGCCAGGTGAGGTGCTGAAATCATTTGCTGCTCTGTCTGACCCGCCTTGCACATTGTCTCTGGTTGGATTTCTCAGCTGGTTGGCCTCAAATTGTTAATGTTTAAAGTACATCCCTCTTGTTCTTTTATCTCAACGGAAGTTAAATCAGCGGTTTGATCGAGCTGTTCCAGTTTCTACATTTTACCGACAAATCTAATAAAGCTTTCATCATAATAGTGACTCGGTGGTAATTATGAGATGCGCCACAGCGACCACACAGAGATGTGCACCACTAACCTGCCAGTGAACCTCCTCGTTTTCATCCGCAGGAGCAGAGAGATATCCTCCACAACCTGCGGCTCGTGGCATTTGAGACGGAGACGGAGAACAGTCTGAACCACGAGAGACGCCGCTCGCTCTGCGCCAAAGAGTTCAAGAAGTTGGGCTTCTCTGTGAGCGACTGCTTTAAAAAAAAAAAAGAATCATTAAATCTCTGAGTTCTTATTTCCACTATTCACATCGCTGTGATTTCATATTGATGTTTTCTTTGATCACTTCAGAACAATAGTAACCCCGGTCAGGACCTGGTGCGGACGCCTCCCGGTCTTCTCGCTCTGGACACCATGTGTTATTTTGCTGCACGCTACACTGACGCCTACAGCAGGGTGAGTGTCATCGAGCTGCTTGTGGCAGTACGTCACGAGCCTGAGCTCCATGAACGACACGTTTCCACAACCTGATCTCATGCAGTTTCATCCGGTTTCAGTTGTCAAACGCAAAGTGCAAAGAGCAAATGTTGTGTAACTGTTGCGAAAAGCTTTTCGGGAGTTTTCCGAGCAGCTTCATTTGTAATGATGACCTTTTACAATGGACAATTGTTTCTGTCCCCCCCCCCAGTTTGTCCTGGAGAACAGCAGCAGGGAAGACAAACACGAGTGTCCGTTTGGACGCAGCAGTATCCAGCTCACCCTCATCCTGTGTGAGATCCTTCGTATCGGCGAGCCCCGTGAGTTGTCCTCAGGTCCTCGTGGCGTCGGCTGTCTGTCACTTTGCTCTCTTCAGTCCTCCCTCTCATCGGTTCCTTCCTCCGTTCGCAGCCTCGGAGACGGGCAGCGACTACCATCCCGTCTTCTTCAGTCAGGATCGGCTGATGGAGGAGCTGTTCTGTGTCTGCATTCAGCTGATCAACAAGACGTGGAAGGAGATGAGGGCCACGCAGGAGGACTTTGACAAGGTAGGACAACAGCGTGGCGCAAAATGTCTTTAAAGGTCCAGCAACATGCAGGACGACTTTGACCTGGAGGTTCTATCTTTAAACCCAACCGGCTTTCTTTTCACTTTACAACAGTGGTTGTAACTTGGAGACTCATTCAGAGTTTGATTAATAGATCAATACTGTCCTCAAAGCCCGACTGCCTCTTTCCCTTTCTTCAGTCTTTGTGCTAATAAGTGATGCTGATATCCCCAAAAGGGAACTCCTTAGATTCTGTTATGCAATATTTCAATAAAAGCTCGGTAGAAGAGAATGATTTGTCGGATAAAGTCTTGATGAATGATCAATGTTGCAAAAAGTCCATTTATTGCTTGCAAGCAGGAGGTCAAATACACAGGCACGTATCACGGTGCTCTGTGGAAATGGCGTCCCCGAGCAGTAAGAACGCTGAGTTTTTATACACATATGAAGGACATTCTCCGTGCCAGTTACGAGAAGCTGCAAAACAGGTTGAGATAAGAACCCAGGTGAAGCTGAGGGTAGCACACACACACACTAGATCCTCCTCAGTGGCCGGTGCAAATCATAATTAATTGACATAAAGTAAAAACGTGGATCCGGAAATTTCGTACCGAAAAAGATATGAACCAAGGCCATGAACAGAAGTCCTTTGTTTTGAAGCTTCTATGAGATTGAGTCGACCGTCCTCCCTTCTCAAGACACAGCTGCAAAGCAAAATTTTGTATCATGCTGCTCTTTGCACATCAGGGTCAAATACAGGACACTTGAGACACGGCTTTAGCACAAAACAATGTTATAACATATTTTACCATTTTGTAATGGTAAAAAGAATTCCTGAAAGAATCTGTATAATTTTGAGGTACGATACAGAAAGATTAAAAGATCCAGAGCTTTTCCATTCACAGTCTGGCTTATAGTAGAACCTCTCACAGGCTCCGCTTACCACTGTGACTTTGTAATGTGTTATTCTTATGATGACCGTATCCAAATCCTCCCCCTGCATTCAGGAATGGTAAATGGACTGTACTTGTATAGCGCTTTTCTAGTCTTCTGACCACTCAAAGCGCTTTAACACGACATGACATCATTCACCCATTCACACACTGATGACAGGAGAACCACACACAGTGACACCTGCCATCAGTAACTAACATTCATACACTGTCCCAGCTACAGGAGCCATGTTGGGTTAAGTGTCTTGCCCAAGGACACAACGACATGCGGGTTAGCCGAGCCTGCCCAGGGTGCTTTGGGGCAAGGACAAAGGGTCATTGGGTGGACAAAGAGAAGCGTGGTGGACGGCAGAAACGAAGGGGAGAAGGAAAGGAGAAAAACAAAGCGCTCGGGGCTCAAGCAGCGATTACTCAACAACTGTTTCCTGCTTGAGAAGTATGAGGATTTTAATTAGGAAGGCCAATCAAAGGTTTCCACTCCACATTTTCCACCAGACTCCAAGGCTGAACCAGGGGAGCCATAACCAGCAGAAATGACGTTTAGCACGAAAGGTCAGATGACAGGTGTGCAGCAGCTGTCCCAGGTTTGTGTCATGTGAAAGTTGGAGCACCGTGAGTGCATTTTGGCTCGGGGGGGATGAGGAGGTGGGGGGTCTGGGCCAGAAGCCACAGGGTGAAACTCTAGCCGCTTGTTTTGGTGTCCTGCGTGTTCACACAATATGAAATGACCATCTGCGCTGGCGCTGCGGCCGGACAAATGGTCTCTCGTGTGCTCGTAAGCGGCTCACGTTCTCACCCCGAGGGGGGGTTTGATCTCTGATTGAGAGCTCTGCTTTTTGGTTTTGATTTTATTTGTCAATTGTTTGCAACCGAATGCTTATCTCAGATATTTTGTATTGTAAGACGTGGAAGAGAAAGCCCGGACGGTGCCGCGCTGAATGGGTCGATTTACACTTCAGTCACTACTTGATCACAACCCCCGTTGAGTCGGGTGTGAACAGGAAGAATCGAGGTCAGCAGAGTGTGGGTCAGATAGAGCGAGTCCGTTTACTATCTGCACCTCTATAGAATCCCCTCCATTCACAACCGACTCACGTATTCCCAAGTTGGATGTAGATCTTCCACATTTCACCGACTGCGTTGTGCTCCTGTTTTAGGGCGCCGAGGGGGGTGTGGGGGGGGGGGCGCTTTAGCTGATAATTAAAGTAAATATGTGAATGCAGCCAACCCTAATAATGAATGATCGACTGGAGGAGAGGAAGGGGAAGTTCCCTGCAGGCTCCACTCTTCATCACTCAATCAATCAATCCGGGGGCCATGTTCTGGATGCTCCATTATGTGGCTTTTAAAGGTAAAAGGGTAATAGTTATGGGCTTTTACTTTTGAAATGGGTGTTAGGCGTTTGCTGTGTTTGGATTTCACTGGAACCTCTGCAAACCTCAGGGTGGAGTGAGTGAAAACCACCAGACACAGGGTGAATAAAAAACAAATTGGAGATAGAAAAGAGGAAGAAATAGATTGTCCCTCCCCGGATTTGAATTCATACATTTCTCTTTTTTTTTACTGCGGACTTCTGGTGAAGTGTGCGAGTTCCTAATCTCAACACTTGACATCATACTCGTTTTGAAGGCCACTAAGACCCAAAGGAATCCTCCGATAACAATAATAACGACAACAATAACAACAACAATAACGTTAGTTTTTGTTTCTTACTGGAACACACACGTCCCACAGCCCGCCATGTGACCACCATGTGACCCGCCCTGCGTCTAACTTCGATCCGTCTCCAGGTGATGCAGGTGGTGAGGGAGCAGATCACCAGGACGCTATCCAGTAAGCCGACCTCCCTGGAGCTCTTCAAGAACAAAGTCAATGCCCTGAACTACAGTGAGATCCTCAAACTGCGGCAGACGGAGCGGCTGCACCAAGAAGAGACGCTGGCGCTGCCCGCAGTGTGAGTAGCAGGACGTCCCAAAGAGCGTCCATGCCGCTCTCCAACGTGTGTGACGAGGCGTAACGCGAGGGACTTTCTCCACAGTGAGCTCAAAGAGCGCCTGAAGCCGGAGCTGCTGGAGTTGATCCGCCAGCAGAGACTCAACCGGCTGTGTCAAGGAACCATGTTCAGGAAGATCAGCAGCCGACGCAGACAGGGTGAGAACACACACACACACACAGACACACACCCTAAAACAGCCGTCTGCGTCTGGTTCCTTCCACGTCTCTGATTGTCTCCCTGCTTCTCAAGATAAACTGTGGTACTGCCGCTTGTCCCCTAATCACAAAATGCTTCACTACGGTGATGCGGAGGAAGACACCGACAGTCCCACAATCGAAGAGCTGCAGAAGAAGAGTGAGTAGAAGCTGCTCTGGGATGTGAAAATTAGTCTGAGCCCTGGCTTATTTATTTGAGACAAATCCGCCTTGAGGTCTCGAGGTTGCATCACTCTTTTTCTCTTCTCTCAGTTCCAGTAGCAGATATCCAAGGCCTGCTGACGGGGAAAGACTGTCCCCACATGAAGGAGCACAAAGGCAAACAGAACAAGGTCAGCAGCACCCATCTGATGTGCTCCGCATGCTCACAATACTCCACCGTGTTTGTACGTGTGTTCCTTGATATGTCCCTCCCCCCACTGCAGGAGATACTTGACCTGGCATTTAGCATCACATATGACGTAGAGGAGGACAGCCTGAACTTCATCGCCCCCTCCAGAACAGACGTGAGTCTCCGGACATTCTCCTCTCTTATCAAAGTTTGTGCGCGTTTCATAAGAACATGAACCCATCGTGTGCTCGCTGGCTTCCTCTTTTCGGGGTCAGTTCTGCCTGTGGACAGATGGACTGAGCGTTCTGCTGGGCCGAGACATGACCAGCGAGTCAATGCACAGCGAGCTGGAGATCCTGCTCTCTATGGAGATTAAGCTCCGCCTCCTGGACCTGGAGAACGTTCCCATCCCCAAGAGCGCGCCGGTCGTCCCCAAACCGCCGAGCAACTACAACTTCTGCTACGACTTCAGCCAGACGGAGCAGTAGAGTGTGTGCGTTTTGCTGTAGTGCAACTAAGACGTGTGAAAGTGTAAAAAAATAATAATGTGTGTGTGTGTGTGTGTGTGTGTGTGTGTGTGTGTGTGTGAAATGGTGCACGTGTGTTGAGCTCCGCCCTGTGCCTCCATGCACTTATTCCTATAACACCGGTTTATTTTGTTTTGTAATGATCAATCAATAATTCTCAATACATCTTAACTAAACCGTGTCTTTTTTTTTCTTTTGAATGGGCAGAACATAGAAGCCGGTGCTTTCTCAACACACGGTACATGTCCTTCATTTCCAACATATGAAGGACAAGTACAGCGGGTTTTATTTTCGTGTTAGGCAGTGTTTTACTTAAATATACCTAATACAGGTACTGGCCTTGGTATGGATCCCAGTGGCTCAATATGGTTACTATGAAGTTAAGCTCTGTTTAACGTCTCGTTCTATTACAGTGATGCACAGCTACACTCATAAACAAGCCAACCTTTTTGTTTTTTACTTTAGTTATTATCAACAGGAGAACGGTACCTTTGCTGTGATCAACAGTTTTTTAATGAGCAGAATTTATGACAAATTGTGCATCCAGCCAGCAATCATCTGCGTAAATCTGTATGACGCAGAATGCAATCAACGGTTTTTCCTCAACTGTTTGATCTGAAACTGATCGATTTTACAAAATGGACAATAATATGACGGTGATGATATGAGGCAGCGTGCTGCGGCACAGTTTGCTACAGTCTGACTCTCAAAGTAAGTAGTGACTAACTGACCTAACGGTCTGCTCTGTATCACGCACTTTTGATGACTTTTCAATAATAAACAGTTTGAATATACCGAAAAACTAGAACGTGTGGGTTTTTCTTATGGCACATGAACCAACTCATCAAAGAGATGAAGCCATTTGAGGCATCGGTAGAACGGCCTGTAATGACCATACAAGCAAACTCCTTTTTATAACATTGTTATAACTTAACATGTAATTCCATGAAATGCCATGACTGTACTTTTGACATGCAACTTACATTTTAGAACTACATGTTATATAATTGGTTTCCAACATGCTTTGACATGACTTTTTTTAAATACTATACTTTTATTTTTGAAATACCGCAGACATAAAGTGTCTGTGGACGTCAGTGTTTGATCCAGATGAAAAGCAGCTGTTGATCATTATTTGGTCAGCGCAGCTCTACATAACCACGCTCCATTTTATACCTATATGTAGTTAGATATTTATAGCTTGTTATTTTTGTTTTTACACTTTTGATATGACCACTGTAAGAGTTGTGTGTATTGTAATACATAAGTTTATTTTATCAATAACCATCAAGGAAAAAGACATTTCAAAAGCCCAAACTGTTGTATGTAATTTAAATAAATATAAAAGATTCAGATTCTGTTTCTGTTTTCCTTTTGTGTTTATGTTGATATAATTAGTTGTAGCGTACAGTTTGTGCCGGGAAAATAAAAGGTCATGAACATGATTGTGCATTAGTGTTGAGTTTATACATTTATTATTAAAAAAGGAGACCAAGCGGACAGAAAATTGGAAAAATTGCGATCACAGGATAAAAAAATAATATAATAATATAATATAATATAATAATATAATAAAAAACATGTAATGTCTTTGGATGGAGTCACTCTTGCCCAATAAATACATGTTTGGTTTTATTTTAAAACATAGTTCTAGAAGTTTCAGGAAATTAAAAAAATAATAGATTGAATAGAAACATTTGAGAACCACAAAAGGACCTAAATTCTGTTGAAACTCTTTAAAAGTTGTGATGGTATCTGCTACAGAAGATATATTAACTTTTTTAAATTCCTTTTCTTAATGAATGTGATCAGCGCTGACATAACATCATACATGTCATCATCATCATCATCATCATCATCATCATCATCATCGCAAGGCTTCTTGAACCGTGCTGGCTGCCTTGGACACATGTGAACCTGCTCCACAATGTACATAGAAAGGTAACAAAAACATCACAATTCTTACTTTCAAGTCATTATAAAATAATGAAAACAGAATTCTGAATATTATATTTGATTTCTTCGTTCTATGCATTCTATGATCACAGGAAAGCAAAACACTTATTTTTAGGAAAAGTTAAAGGCCGCACTGAAATCATGAGCAGAATGCAGGTATTTTGTCACTGAATAAACCAGTGTGTAGGTACCGGGGGACTGAAGGAAACCTGACCTGTGCTATAGTGCGTAGTGACTCGGGGGTAATAGAAGTCCTGCTGAGGTCCAGAGCAACAAGGGAGGATTTCTGCTCCGTCAACAGCCTCCGTACGTTCCTCAGCGACAGCAATGCCGAGGAATCCTTAACGTCCCCCACCGGGCAGCCTCGGTACGGGTCAAACTCGAAGGCGATGTGGCAGCCGGCCAGCGAGAGGCGGCGGAGGCGAGGGGCGCAGCCGGTGAGCCGGTTGAAGGTGACGTCGGAGAGGTACCGCAGGTCGGACAGGTCCAGCTCCTCCAGACCAGACAGAGCCGACCGGACCTGCAACCGCAAGATGGAGTTTGAGCTGAATCTGGAGCCACAGGTGGAAAAACTATAAAGTCGTGCAAACACAATGACATAAACATTTATTGAGGGGGATCAATATGAGCGGTGAGGCTACATTTAACTGTCGTAATAGTGTAGTGAACATAAGCGTGACACTTGACAGTAGGACACAAAAGGTCTTCAAGATTTACCCGGGAAAAGGTCCAAAAATAAGTTACAGTTCTTAAGGGCAGACTGCTGCATAAAACATGAAGGAATCTGTGTCAAATCACCAATTACCTCCTCTTTAAAAACAAAAAGATTAGTAACAGTGTTTCATTGGCACGATTGAGCTTTTGTGTGCCTCATATCGGGAACAAACTCCCAGAAAGCTGCACTAAAGACGTAGAGACTGGGGACATGAAAACAGTCCAGTGAAGCAATTTTAAGCTTGTTTGTCTGTTTTTAATAAATTTTCTTAATCCATTTTCTTTTTCCTTGTTTGTTTGAAGGTTTGATGTGAAGCACTTTAAATTGCCTTGTTTTTTTAGATGTGCTATACAAATAAACGTGCCTTGCCTAGGAAATCATTATTACTTTATTACTTCATAATCTTACCATTACATAAAATGTTTGTGTCCCCTCAAAAAATGCACAGCACCATCTCCCCAAATTCTATTAAACCAAACAGGCAATTTCTTAGATACCACCTTTGGCATTTGCATTTTCCCAAATGCCATTGGTCAACTTTTGTTTCATTTATTAGCACTTCACTCCGGTGTTCAAACACTCCTTGACGCATAACGCAACGTATAAAACCTGCTGTCTATGCTTCTCCCTCGAGAGGAAAGGGCCGGACATGAAGAAGCTGTCCAGGCCCCTGAGGTCCAGCCTGCGGAGGGAGGTGAGGCGGGGGAGGAGTGCAAGCAGAGAGGCTTCGGTGATACTGCTGCCAGGCAGGGACAAGCTCTCCAACTTGGAGCCCAGGCACAGACCCACCTAAAAGAAGACAAGGGAGAGCAATTTGCTTCATTTTGAGCAGGAAATTCAATGAAGCGCGTACACACGCTATTGCTGAGTTGAGCGATAAGGGTTTGAATTTCGCAGAAACACCTGCAGCTGCTCTGAACTTTGGACCGCAACATGTTATCATCCAAAATGATAAGAGTGCTGCCATGCAAATACTCAACGCCCTGAACTATCCTTTCGCCCTCACTTTCCACTTTCACCGCCCTCTCTCCTAACCAAATTCTTACCCTAGTAACCTCTGCCCGTCCGACCACCTGCCCTCTTGACCCCATTCCATCACATCTTCTACAATCTATCGCACCGGACCTTCTTCCGTTCCTCACCTGTCTCATCAACAACGCTCTGTTATCTGGCTGTTTTCCCAATTCTCTGAAGGAGGCAAGAGACAACCCTCTCCTGAAGAAACCCACCCTCAACCCTTCTGAAGAAAACAACTACAGACCGGTCTCTCTTCTTCCCTATTTGTCCAAAACCCTTGAACGTGCTATCTTTAATCAACTCTCCTCTTATCTCCACTGTAACAACCTCCTTCAAGGGTTTCAAGGCAGGCCACTCCACAGAGACTGCTCTCCTTGCTGTCTCAGAGCAACTCCACACTGCTAGAGCCGCCTCTCTCTCCTCTGTCCTCATCCTTCTGGACCTCTCTGCTGCATTTGACACGGTCAACCACCAGATCCTTATTTCCTCCCTTCAGGAACTTGGTGTCACAGGCTCTGCTCTCTCCCTTCTCTCGTCCTACCTCGACGGCCGCACCTACCGGGTAACCTGGCGAGGATCTGTGTCGGAACCTTGTCCTCTTACTACTGGAGTTCCTCAGGGTTCCGTGCTGGGTCCCCTCCTGTTTTCGCTTTACACTAACTCTCTTGGCGCTGTCATTCGCTCGCATGGCTTCTCTTACCACAGCTATGCCGATGACACCCAACTAATTCTCTCCTTCCCTCACTCGGACACCCAGGTGGCGGCTCGGATCTCTGCCTGTCTAACTGACATCTCCCAGTGGATGTCCGCCCACCATCTGAAAATCAACCCCGACAAGACTGAACTACTTCTCTTTCCCGGAAAAGATTCGCTTACCCAGGACCTGACAGTCAACTTTGGGAACTCCGTACTAACGCCCACTTTGACCGCTAAGAACCTCGGCGTCACACTCGACAGCCAACTCTCCCTGACTCCCAACATCACCGCGACAACGCGATCCTGTAGATACACGCTCTACAACATCAGGAGAATACGTCCCCTTCTCACTCAGAAGGCAGCGCAGGTACTGATTCAGGCTCTTGTCATCTCTCGCCTGGACTACTGCAACTCCCTCCTGGCTGGTCTCCCTGCCACCGCCATTCGACCTCTGCAGCTCATTCAGAATGCAGCAGCTCGACTGGTCTTCAACCTTCCGAAATTCTCCCACACTACTCCACTCCTCCGCTCTCTTCACTGGCTACCGGTGGCCGCCCGCATCCACTTCAAAACATTGGTGCTCACGTACCGTGCTGTGAATGGATCGGGTCCAGCTTACATCCAGGACATGGTCAAACCCTACATCCCAACCCGCACTCTCCGCTCTGCATCTGCAAAACTACTCGTCCCTCCCTCACTGAGAGCAAAACACTCGACTAGATCTCGACTCTTCGCTGTCCTTGCGCCGAAATGGTGGAACGAGCTCTCTGAAGACACCAGGACCGCAGAGAGCCTTCACATCTTCCGCCGCAAACTAAAGACACACCTCTTCAGACTCTACCTCGACTAAAGACTAACAAATTGTAACACTTAAGTTGTACTTGTAACGTCACTCATCTATAGCAAATTGTAAATTGGCTTATTTGAGGAAATTGCACTTTCTTGTTTCTTGTTCTCCTGAGTTTGTACCCTATGGTTAAATGCACTTATTGTACGTCGCTTTGAATAAAAGCGTCCGCTAAATGACATGTAATGTAATGTAATCCTTGTTCCTGGTTGACTACAATGACGGCCTTTCAGGAGGGGAGACCTGAAGACAATGTGTCCCTTGACTTGGTTACTCAGATTGTTTTTTTTAAAAGGCTGTCAGAAGCCCTCCTCCTGGGGAAATTCCCTGGAGGAATAGGGAGATCATCTAAGGGGAGATTACAACGCTAATTTAAATCACAGTTCACATGACAGCAGCGATCAATTTCGTTCTCACAATAAATGCTACCGTTTCAGTCCAGAGTGGAAACATATGGACACACAGACGATCAATAATGCTCCATATTTAGATTTTTCCCCCATTCACCTCTACTTCTAATTTGTCTTGTTTGGCCTCGTAAAGCAGGATTCATTTGGGGTTCGAGGGGGAGCTTCAGGGGCTCTTCAGGAAATGTGTGATAAATATTCAGTTTGAAATATTCTTAAGTTGCAGCTTGGACAAATAAAACATCTTATAATAATCACATAACAATCTATCTTTAATCACGTAGTCTCTTCAGATGTGAAAACACCGGAGAATATCGATACGTACAAGGAATCTGAAATCATGTTAACCCAAGTTGCTATACGTTTGAATCATAACAGCATACTGCACCTCCAGAAGCAGAGATCTGGACATACTGAACCCATCGAGCTGGCTGATAATAAGACTGCAGCGTGACTTTCTGCTCAGACCCTTGATCAGCTCCAGCGACGAGGCTGAAGCCAGGAAGCAGAAGGTGACATTTTTCTGCACAAACAGGAACAAAGAAAGAGGTGGCATGCGGTTGAATTGACCCCATAGCATATAAAGCAGATCCTTAAAGCAGATCCTTCCACGGTCGCCTTTCGGCACTGTGGGTCTACAGCCAATGAAGCGCCTCGAAATCATGATGTGAGGCAATCACCTGAAAGCTAAGGTCCTGGCTGGCATAATACCAACTGCGGCTGACCAGCAAGGCTTCCTTCCTCTCCGATGTGTGAAGAAAGCGAATAAGGATGTAAACTAGGATCTGCGGCAAGGGATCAAAATACAGCATTAGGTTACATGAAAGTGTAAACAACCTGTACATTGTATTGTTCCTGTGTATCATATTGTAAAAACAATGTATGTAGTTTATTTTATTTTTGATATACTCAATTAGATCATATTATAATTTTAGACTTGGTGCCTTTCAAAATACACATTCTTCTCATTTTAAAAGCATTTTTGGCACACTTCAGGAAACAGGAACGGGAATACTTTTGATAAAATACATATACTGTACATTTGTGATGCGTCCCAGTGTGTTAAATTATTTTGTATTACATAAAAGTTACTCTAAATAACTTTAGTCTCTAGTTATGGACAAACTCACCTCCAGGGGAAGATCAGGTGTCTCCGTGTCCTCCCCATCGCATTCCTCCATCGCAGCTTCTCCTTCGTTACGATGAAGACCTCCGGACCTTCATCCCCAGCGGCTCGCTGGCTCGTTAAAAGATGCAGCTAGCTGCCGTTAGCCTCACAGCTAATAGCTTGTGCGTGAGGGGAGGCCGCTGCTAAGTTCCATTATTTTATGGTGAACCAATCGATGCGAATACCAACACCAGATCGATGGAAGCCCGCGAGGTGGCTCGTCGACTGCTGTCAACTCACCGAGCGACTTCGCTGCGCACACTTCACCGCAAGCACGCAGCCTGTACGTTTCCGCCTGACTTCGGTTGGATCAGCTGACGCCTGCGAAAACACCGACGTCAAGGCGCGGAGCATTGTGGGAAATGTAGTTTCCCCACTATGTCTCCCTCATAGTGGTTCATCACCTCCAACGAGTCAGTTAGCGCACTCTGACGTCACTTAAAGCAACGACAACGAGGTCGTTATGATGACATCACCTCTTCAACAACACCTGTTGCAAATAACTTCCTTCCTTTAGTTGTTGTTGCTGTTGTTGTTGTTTGTTAACTTGCGGCCATGTTGGGTCGCCAGAGGACAGATACGTTACATTACATTACATGTAAATATTATCCAAAGCGACTTACATTACACTTTAAACCCATGGCTTTTTCACATTTTCCCAGCACACCTTCTCTAACCCCTGCGCCACGACGACCCCTGGGAGATAAACAACTCACGACTGCTTATGCTGATACAGATAATTTATTCACTCACAAGTTTTAAGGGCCCTATATTACATACACATTCATTGTGTTCATTATGCTAAAATCCCTCCCCTCTCACCACACACTAACACATATACACAGACACACAAACACACACACAAACATATAACCATAAAGGAGAAAAACATTGCAAATCTTCTCTATAGATGGTCTGGCAGTGTGGCTAGCCCTTTTTCAGAGGCTGTATCGATAAAACCATCTATAGAAAAACATCATGCTGTGTCTGTAACATTATAACATATAACTATAACATTTTACAGCACACGTTATATATTAAGCACTATTAGAATGTACAGTATGTACATGTCACAGCACTACAAGCAGGAAAGTGATCTTACAAGAACAGGAGAGTGAAATTCATCTAACTTTCAAAATATAAATGTATTTACATTACTGTACATAAGAAAACATGAAAATTAAAATGTTGACTTTAGTTATAAAATATGTAAATCAATACTATTACATGTGTTGATGGCTATATATTTACATGATTGATTATTAATATGTATATAATATATACTGCTTAGATTAGCATGTTAAATCAGTTAAAAAGGTGATGTTTTAACTCGCAATTCATAAAGCTATCATTGCCAAAGAGAGCCTGGAAATCCATGCAGAATAATCTAGGATGACGTTACAATGACCTGACAATGTCAACATTTTTGGTAACATTTCTCATGATGGAGTACAGAAGATCATTTTATTACATTAAACATTAACATTAAAAACAGGTTTTCTAGGTTGGTGTTGTTCTTCAGAACCACTTTTAAATACATCAGCACTGCAAACTACTCACACCCTAAATTACACAACGTGTAAGGCAAATTGTTAATTCAAGTTACAAAAGAAACCTACAGTCAGCAGACAACAACAGCAAAAACCTTTTGGTGTGATTTGGAAAGATAAGAAGTTCGGTTCCGTTGAAAGGACTCGTCCAAGTTCACAGTTATGGCCTGACATTGCCACCTCGGTGTAGATGATGATGTGGTTGAATAGTGGAGAGTTGAATGGCTTGCTTTTATCTTGCTTTTTAACTATATTTAGTCTAATGGTTAACTCAGCTCATCCTACAACAGCTAATGTCATGGTAGTGATATTTGGTTAGTGGACATCGGTCAGTGTGGATTACAGTACTGCCTTTATATTTTTGCAATGATGCTGTCCTACAAAACGCCCACTTGCAGATCAGGTATAGCAGTTTTGTACGTGTTCATCAGTAACACCTCGTCACTTCTGCGCTCCAAAATTCTGCCACTTTATAGCCGGCCTTCCCTTCCGTAGTTTATTCTTCCACATTCCTTTCAAAAAGAGCATTTCTTCATTTCCCAGTGATCCCTCCGATTTCCCTTCTCCTTAAAGATCTTTTGTCCTTATCCTCTAATGAACTATCACAACTTCTTTTCTTTCCTCTTTCCACCCTCGCTCCCTTCGACCTCGCCGACGCCCGCCTCTCTTCGGTCCACATCACGCTCCTGGTCTGCGTCACCGCGGCCCCTGGATGCAGAGGGAGGCACAGCGGAGTTGCCGTTGTCGGGGCGATGGGAGGCGGGGAGCACTGCAGATCAGGTGGAGACGGCCGATGGCGAGTCCACGTCTCGGTCGGATCCGGAACTGAAGGTGGGGGACGGAGGAGGCAGGGAGGAGGAGAGGGAGGGCTGGAGGAGAAAGGAAGACGTTAATCCACCACACAGTGGACATTCTCTTCCTTGTCTCTGTCACGCGTCCATACTGTATTTGCGGTACCTGTAGGGAGACGCTGGACTTGCTGTACTTCTCTTTGAATTTAGACAGAGCTCCTTTCAGTCCAGAGGATTTCTCTGCCATCTCCAAGGCTGCTCTCAGCAGTTTGGGAGTTTCTGGTCTGAGAGGGGCTGCCGACGTGAGCGGGGTTCGCCTCTTCTTTGGGTTCAGGTTTCTTTCCCTTGTTGAGCATCTTCCTGTGAGAGAGTAACTGATTCAGGAACAATCACACAACGCAGACAAAGGAAGGCTTCTGAGAGTTGATTTTTGATCTGGTGGCCCCACTTCATCTGCACAGGACGTCTACAAAGCAGAGAGTTATAGTGTAACAGGTAACTGTTGTTGTGGGTGCATTGATGTTTGACCTGGCCTTCTTGCGGAGCAGTTTCTTGGACTGGGGGTAGTGGACCAGGATCTCATTCAGGTCTTTCTTGTCGAGGATGAAGAGGTTGGCAAATCCGTGTGCGATTACATTTGCTGTTCGCCTGTTACCGCCGCCTACCGCAAGCAAACTGCAAATTACACACATTATGGTGTGAAAGGTTATGTTCTACCTCATTGGACCTATTAGCATGAGAAAAGCTCTGGTCTGCTAGACTTTTCTATACAAGGTTTATGGTATTTCACACAAAAAGACTGAAAACCCCACGTCCTGTTCTAAGGTATTTGTCAGAACGGCAGCTTAGATACGTATATAATAAATCTTACTATTGTTTGCCATTTGTAAGCATCTTCAAAGACAAAGTTTTCATTGATCGCCACCTTTGAAAATGTCTTCCCCTGATTTCTCCAAAGACCGATCCTGCCCTGAGAGTGACAAACACTGTCCTCCTTTCCGGTCCCCCGACCACCTGCACCTCGCCAACCTTTATGATGTCTCCCGACATTTGATCTCTATGACAACGCAGCAGATGTCCTGCTTTGTCTCTTACACTGTGCAATTTGTTCGGGTATCTTTTAGGAATTTCTACCTGAAAAAGACGGACTTTGCTGACGGACTTTGCTGACAATGGAGTAGTTGACGTCTATAGTGTAGGTTATTAAAAACTCAATTCTCCTCCTTTTTAATTATGTACTTTAACCCAATCATCATAGAAGAACTCTGTAAACCAATAGAATAGTTTTCACACCTTTCCGATTTTCTATATATGTACGTGTTTGTCCCTTCGTTCGGGGTTCGTGAGTGAAACCGGTAGACAGTTAACTACGTTGAAGTCAAAGGACTCTCTGTGGCCTGTGGACTGGAGAAGCTTACGAATCCTCGATCGAGGTGTTAACTTTTTGGCGCAACGCTTATTCTTTTATTAAACTCTTTAGATCTAACTTTTTCGATCTGCAGTATCTTTTGTTCGTCCGGAGTTTTCTTCATTTTTGAACACAACAATTTGGTGACCCCGACGTGATGAGGAGCGACGGACGGAGGAACAGCTGATCTGAACAAAGGCCCAGCGATCGATTTTCTTCACTCACACGGCGCCATCGAAAAAGGTAACCGGCAACCAGTTGTTTAAAAACCGAAATGCTGTATAGTTTATCATAGAACATTTAGGTGTGAGTGGACAAAGTACGATGTGTTGAGGTAAACTAAAATTTTTAGATTTTTCTCTTAGCTTGGATGGGCGTTGCGATAAAAAGCGGCACATTGTATATAGTGTTTGTTTGGACGTCTCTGTGTGTGTTACCGACGAAGTTTCGGTTGTGTAGCGTTAACGTTAAGTGAATGGGCGACGTTATTTAACTGATCAGTCGTAGAATGAATGGAAACCTAGTATAGGCCTCTAACCAGTTGGGGATAAACGTATAGCAATTTATAGACTGTATACGTAATGCACTGTGTATAACGCGCTAGCAGAGTTAAGTCCACAAGGCCTGATGGAACCAGGAGTGATACCAGCAGTAATTGAGTGGAAGAGGTTCGCGTTGTAATGGCGGTTCTTCGTTGTCTCCGTAAGCTCTTTTAGAATCTGTTAGGCGGCACAATAAATTAAAATATGAACTAGACGACGCCAATGAGGCTAGATAACTAAAAAATAAATAAATAAATTTGGAACTTGTGAGGACAGAGCCACGCGCCGTAGTTGCCAAGAACTGACTAAAATTTTACGGATAATTAAGTGCAGGGATAAATAGACCTAAAATTATAAGAGATAGGAGATAAGATAAGAAATAGGTCATCATATAACTCGCCTTGCAGGTGAGGACAGAGTCACGGACCAGCGCGCCAAGACCCTGAAGGCTGGAAGTTACAATTTAAAATTCGAAAAGGGTGAGGATAGAAAATAATAAATTACTGGATAAATTTTTACAATAAATATAGATCAGTTGAAAACGTTGCGATTTTGTATATAATAGTGTATTGTATAGTTTTGTTTTGAAACGGCCGCAACCAGTTAAGCTTTTTGGTTCTTGGCCTAATCTCGTGAGGACAAAGGAGCACATGGTTTAAACAGGGCCTGCAAGGCTTTGTTCTTTGAAACAAAGGACTGTGACCGAAACCACCATTGTTTGGGGGTGGGGAACGCGGAGCACATGTTTCTTGGAACTTTACAAGATGGTAGCCGGAAATGAATAGTGAATGTAATTACAAAATGGCGGATTAGGAACCAATTAACATATTTTTACTAATTTTAAATACTGACATCTAGTGGATGAATGAAGCGGTAGAAGTTCATCAACCACACATACGGACATTTAAGCATTGAGAGTAGTGCTATTTACGTTAAAGTTTGACATAGTGGCCTGCTGTTTTGATTAACCATTAGACTTGTTAAGCATTATTCCTGACACATATTCGACGGTTCGGAAAATATTTGATTTTAATTATGACAAACTTATGACGCTATGTGATTATTGTTCCCCACCAGCATTGTTACTGACATTACTGTTTGACAGTGGTGCCTTTTTGATTTTTCTCACCGTCCCATTTCCGAAACTGGGATTTCTGTCTGCACGAGATTTCTTTTCCTGCATGTTGAACAGTCGGTGCTCTCTCTAACACATCGTTCTCGTTTTTGTGCATTTCTATAATCACCATAACCATTCTCCCCATTGTTCGTACATTTCTGTAATCTAACCTGTTTTTCCCATTTTCGTACATTCCTATAATACCATAACCATTTTTCCCATTTTCGTACATTCCTATAATCACCATAACTATTTTTTTCCCCCATTGTCTGTACATTTCTGTAACCTAACCTCTTTTTCCCATTGTTTGTTAACATAATCATTTTCTCCCATTTTTCGCACATTCCTATAATCACCATAACCATTTTTCCCATTGTCCGCACATTTCTGTAACATAACCAATTTTTTCCCATTTCCATACATTTTTTACAAGCACCCTAACTAATTTTAGTAACATATCTTTCTTATTTAACGGTGAGTATTGTTTACACCAACACTTGGTCAGACCTGAAGATGGCTACTACGAAAAACCCCTATACATGGCTTGACGTGCTGTGCAGGAAAGTTGGGGATGTCACCGCACCTCAGGACAGACACAAGACAGAGAGGAGAATAAAAAAGCGCATTCTGGAATGGAGAACAGACGGACTGTTGGACCAATCAAATATGACACTTCCCACCAAAGAACAAAGGCAGAGTCTGCTAACAATCCTTCAACAAAGACTGGAGATGGCCAAAGTAAACAATGTGAAAAGAGCATGGTTTAGATCCAAATCCAACAAGATCGAGAAAGCACAAAAAGACTTGGCGATCGGACAATTAATAGTAGAAGGGATGGACAAAATGAAAATTGCCTACATGTCTCCTGTTTCCATTGATGTTGATTCTCCCACGCTACCCCCTATGCCTGAAGCCATCATAAAGAGTACACCAACAGAGATGCCAGACAGAAAGACAATGACAGGAGCGAGCCTGTCATTGCCTCCTTCCCTCATCCCTCTCTCATGCCCCCCCCCATATGCAGCAGGACGTCCTTTTGAACCCCAGCTACAAGCACCCATACTGGAGGTAAAAGGAGGGACACTGGACGTAAGCTCGACATTAACTGACCATGCCGTGGGCATTCTCACAACACAACTAGAGAACCTCACAGACACAGTGAAAAGACACCTGACCGCTGGGGACGAGCTAACGGAAAAAAGCATGCGCAGTCAGACGAACAGCCATGAAGCCAGCATGCAACAAAGCCCAAACCCATTCCTCAATTCAGCAGGACCTGAAAGTCACACCACAACCCCAGCAGCAGCGGAATATGACCCAGCATGGCACCAGAGAGGAGAGGCCTCCGTCGACCCTCTCAACTTGAGTGGCTCCAACGGAAATTACGGTGACTGGACGACCCCCATCAGGCCAGAACAAAGCACCCTCTCACCCCAGAGTCTACCCAACCACACCACCAGACCAGAAACAAGGCCAGAATCTCTCCAGGGAGACCAGAACTCACCAAGATCTCATACGGAGGGCGCCCAGCGACCTTTTGACCTCCCATTCCGGGGGACAGTCCAGTTCCCGGAACATCTCACACTGATAGGAGACAACGCCGCCCCAGCCCAACACAACCACAACCTCAGGTCGAGAGGTCACACAAGCCATCAGCTCCCGGTACATGCCCATCCCGACTTCCAAGCCCCCCTTTTGTCACTACCCAATGGACAACAACAATATCAACCCTTCAGCATGAGAGACACCCAGATGATAGTAGAGAAACTGCCATCAATTGAAGACAGAGGAAAACCATGGCTGAGAGCGCTAAACACACTGACAGCAGGACACACGCTGGCTCTCGGAGATATGAGATCCCTCCTCACCCAGTGCTCCAGCTTGGTGGAGAGTATCGCAGTACAACAAGACGCCAAGGTGCACACTCTTCCCGACCACGAGCCTCTCTCCCGCGTTGCAGGACAATTGAACAACGCAATTAGGATAAAGAGCCATCAACCAAGCAACAACAACACAAAACATTTCAGTCCCTGATCCTTATGTAGCATTATCTAGCATATCACCAAAACAACAGTTCTTCACAGTAATTGACTTAGCGAATGCATTCTTCTGCTTGCCTTTAAATGAAGAAAACAGAGACATATTCTCCTTCACATTTGAAGGACATCAGTACACCTACTCCAGGATGCCCCTGGGCTACAAAGACAGCCCTGGCCTATTCAACGCAGCCCTCAAGAAAGACATGACACCGTAACACCTACTGAAAGACGTCATCATCATCCAGTATGTTGACGACCTACTGCTGGCAGCACCGACAGCTGAAGTGTGTTCAAAAAAAAAAGTCACAAAAGAACTACTCACGCTGCTGTCAAAAACAGGCTACAAGGTTACAGCAGGCATTACATCCCGGACTACACCACCCTCACACAACCACTCAGAGAACTTCTATCAGAAGCCGGAAACCGTAACATGAAAGCACCTCTGACATGGACACAGGAAGCAGAAGAAGCCTTCACCAAAACCAAGCAGGAGCTTGGCCAAGCATCACATCTGGCAACTCCGGACTACACAAAACCCTTTCATTTGGATGTTTCTGAAACAAATGGGA